TGCTTATTCCACTGAGCCATCTCCTTGGCCCCACATGTTTGTGCTCTTGTGAGTTTGTTTTTTGGTGGGGAGGGGTGTGTAGGTTTTTGTTTTTTTTTTTTTTTTGAGACAAGAGTTTCACTACCTATCCTGGGTTGGCCTTGAACTCATAGTAATCCTTCTGTCTAAACCTCTTGAGTGCTGGGATTACAAACTTATGCCACTATGCTCACAAAGTATTCAGTTTTGTTTTATTTTTGAGACAGGGTCTCACTATGTAGTCCAAGGCTGTCCTTGAACTCACTGTGTATTTCAGGTTGATCTTAAATTCCTGCCTCAGCCTCCTGGGGCCTGGAGTTATGTGTGTGCACCACCATACTGAGTTTAAGTGTATAGTGTGAAAACTTCTTTTTACCTTCAGTCTATAATCTCTATATCTTTACTCTGAAAAAAACTGTTCTCCTTTCTTGTGATTCTTCAAGATAATTTACACTTCCAATCTAAGAAATGTTTTGTGTATCTACGGGCAGGACACACACATCTCTTGTTCTCTGAAAAAATAAACATTTTGAACATTCTATTGACTTATTTCTATGAACTGTATCTTTCTGCTCTTCTTTTTTTGTACTTAGTGCAGGGTCTTCAGGGCATATAGGGTCTCACTACACAGATCAGACTTGTAGTGATTCTTCTGTTTTCAGCTTCTCAAGGGCTGGGATTACAGGGGCGTGATACCACGCCCAGTGTCAATCACCATCTCGGTGCACCCCGGGGATGGGGCTGGGGCCGGGGCCAGGGCCAGGGCCAGGGCTGGGGTGGCATGGCAGTCTGGGATTGAACCTACCCCTGTGTCTGCCTAAGCAGGAGCTTTAATCTGCTGAGCCATCTGGCCTGTCATCCTATTCTTTCTATATTAGTATGTAACAACATTTTCATTCTTTTGATGTTTGCATGTCATTTCATTGGGCATTGTATGATGCCCATTTTTTCTTGTAGGATAACTTTAAAAGTCAGGGCTTCAAAATTAAGGAATCAGTTAGGTTGCCTTTACTGTTTGCTTTTCTTTTTTTTCCTTTTTCCTTTTCCTTTTCCTTTTTTTTTTTGGTGGTGCCAGGGATTGAACTCAGGACCATGTGCTTCCCAGGCAAGCACTTACTCCACTGAGCTATCTCCCTGGCCCTTTTTTACATTTTTTTTTAGAAGATTTTTTTTTTTTTTTTTTTGGCCTGCCTCAGGTGACCTTAAGGGCAGGTCTGGTAAGACTTGTGGAGCTGGGGATTGAACCGTGGTCCCCTACGCCTGGCTGCGTTTGCCCAAGCAGGTGCTTAAACAACTGAGCTAACCTGCCAGATACCCACTGTTTGCTTTTCTGCTTCACATAATTCCTCAGGGAACCTTTTGCTGTTTTCACATGTAAAAATTGATAAGTAGGCTCAATCCCTGACAGAATTGGAAAGTCAAAGTACATATATGTAATCATTTATGAATCTTAGTGTTCTTGCAAATGTCATCCCTTACTGGGATTATACCAAGTTGTTTCCAACAGTACTTAAAATTATGAGGGATTGAGATGTAGCTCAGTGATCGACGGAGAGCTTAGCATGCATGAGGCCCTGGGGTGTTCTGTAACACCCTTCCACCACCACCTCAAAGTGCTGGGAGGCTGCGGTAGGAAGATTAGAAATTAAGCTTGACGGGGCAGTTTAGCAGGTTCAGTAAGACCATACATAAAAATAAAATGTTTAAAATGCTATGAATATAACATGCTCCAGAAGCCCAAGGCTCAATCTCAGTACTGGAAAAAAAAGTGTTCTTTTTATTCAGACTTTATAGATTGAGTTCCTTGGTTCCCATTTGTTTGCAGCGTTTTCCAATCAAAATTATTAATTATTATCAAAATATGTAATGGAAGTATCTATTAGAAATTTGGGAGGGGGAAGAAATTTGCATACCACTGAATTAAGATTTTTGGTTCTAAAATTATCAGATTCCAAGACCAAAGATTAAATCAATAAAAGGAGAAGCTGGACAAAATCTTCTGGATATGATGGCCCATGATCGTTTGAGCCAATCAGGTAATAGTAATGTTTTAATTGATTTAATTTGAAAGAATAAAGGAGAACTATCACTAGAGCACATATTAATGTTAAAAACCCTTCTGTCCAGGAGATAATCTGCCATGATTACTCCTTTTGGTGTATCAGATAAGGGCAGGGAGGTACAGAAAGGATGAGAAGAAATGATGCAGTCTGTGAAAGAACCTTGGTACTGTTTGCTTTTGGGTGGAATTAACTCCTTAACCCACTCTTTGTGGGGCTAGTAGAGCCTGCACCCTCAATATTTCAGAGTGCTTCTTAACTGAGGAATGTTACTTTGTGTCAGCCCTTTAATGCCAGCTGCTTATGAAACAGTGCTGTGGGAGATACACACTCAGAGATGTGTCTGTCTCCCAGAGAGCTGAGAGAGAAGCTACTGTGCATGTGTCCTCTTAGGTGCTGAGAATTGTGAATGTGTTCCCAGCTTGGATAGTGCCCGTGTGGCTGCACGTGTTGCCTGAACTTGTGCTAAAAGAGCAGGGACTATGAGGCAGGAGAATTGCTAGGAGTTCCAGATCAGACTGGGGGCTTCAGAAATGAGCACAAGGCCAGCTTGAATTGCATAGCAAGAAAACTGTCTTCAAAAAAATAATAATAATAATAATAATGACTTCAGGGGAAGCCATGTAACCAAGGAGTAAAGTGGACGACTAAAGAGAGACAATTCTCTCTGAGGAGCAGTTTGGGTGTAGTACTGGTGGACTTCATAAAGAGGAGAAAGGGTATTAAGTCCGAGTTGCTGTGAGCGTTGGCCTCGCCTGAGGCTGTCAGGGCCTCTGGCGCACCTGTCTCCTGGTGCTCTCATGGAGGGAGTTAACCCTTGGAGTGGCTTCTTTTTTTCCTTTTCTCCTTTTATACCTTCTACCTTCATACAGCCAGCATGCTTGGAAGGGTGTCACACTCAGTAAAATCAGTTGTGTTTGTGGTCTTTGATCTGAATATTCAAGGTTATAGTCTGGTGATAGTCAAACCTGACTGACGAACAGCATTAACCCTAAGGAGAGTGTGTGTGTTTGAGCAGCTTGAATATAAATTTACACGCCAGTTGTGCACCCATCCTCACAACCCACTGCCAATTAACAGTTGATCCCCATTTTCTCTAATCAGCTTGGCCTTAGTCTATATTTTTAAAAACTAATTGTAGATATTTCCTATAATCATATAAAAGTATGTAAACCTTTGTGACTGGCTTCTTACACTTAGTATGTTTTTAAGCTTCATTCATGTTATAATATGTGTATATGTTCTTACACAAAGAGTGTCTTTAAAGTAGATTCCTCACCCCAAACATGCATAATTAAGAAATGTCTGGGGGTGAGGTCTGGAAATAAGGACTTCTCACAAGCTGTTTATTTTTGAAGGGTTTCACTGTGTAGTTCAGCTGGTCTTAAAAGCTGTCTTGTCTGTCTCTCTCTCTCTCTCTCTCTCTCTCTCTCTCTCTCTCTCTCTGTCTGTCTGTCTGTCTGTCTGTCTGTCTCTCGACCTGAGACAGGATTCCACTATTCAGTTCAGGCTGGATTTGAACTCGAAGTGATCTCTTGCCTCAGCCTCCCAAGGGCTGGGATTACAGGCGTCATGTGCCACCACCCCCAGTTTAAAAGCTTTTAAAGGTTCATTTTGGTCAACCAGTTTAGTTTGGTCAGCCAGTGTGTCATATCAGAGAAACAGAGCTTTGTCCTTCTCCTGCCTGATGGCTTAAGTCTGTAGCTTTCTAAAATGCAAATACTTTTTGCATTTGTCAATGCTGTTTCCCTTTGAGGTGGACATGGGTGCTATTGAAGCTGTACTCTGTTCATTTTTATATAGGCACCATTTTTGTTGTCCTGTTGAGGTTCAGGCTTGGAGAGTAAGGTTTGAGGTAATTATGTTATTTCCTCCTTGGGTATAGAAACAAATGTGACTACAAACTGCTTATCATAAAATAATGGAAATAATTTTTTCTTTTTTAGGGCACATGTTGCTAAACTTAAGTCGTGGCAAGCCGAATCTTATAAAGGAGATTGTAGAATCTTTTGCCAATAAATGTGGGCAGGCTGCTCTGTATGATGCTCTGTTTTCTAAGTCTCCCAAGGAGAACTCTTTCCTTGTCAGTGATGACATTGGATACATTGATGTGCGAGCACCTGGGCCTGATGAGTTGGCTCGATATGACATTGGTAAGTTGTGTTTCAGCAGAAATGCTCTGCACTGTAACCCTTCTGTGCTGGGGAGACACATTGTACATGATCCCATTTTCCAGGAATAGTGGTCTAACATCTTCCTGTATTCCTTTAGGGTTATATTTGGGCAGGGGTTTTTAAAAATGTGTAACAAATCTATACATACTATATGCGTGTGTGTGTAAAAATATATATACTATTGTCTTTCATTAAAAGAATCTTTTATCATTTATTATTTGATACAGGGTCTTGTTATGCAGCTTGGACTCATAGTGATCCTCCTGCTTCTACCTCCCCAGTGCTGGGATTACAGGCACATGCCACCACACCTGGTTTTCATGGCCACCCCAGACCTTAAAAGAATATTAATACAGTAGAAATTAAGTTATGTAACTTCTGATGGCAATATCTTTTTTGTGAATCAGCCATAATTTGCTTGCTACTTTCTGTTGTTGAGTACTTAAATTGTTTTCGGATTTTTCACTATTAAAAGTAGGACATTCTTGGGGGCTGGGGAGATAGTTTAGTGGCATAAATGCCTGCCTGCCTGCCAAGCACAAGGTCCTGAGTTCGATCCCTGGTACCAAAAAAAAAAAGACATTCCTTGCTTAATGACCAGGCTATGATCCTATGACTAGATCATTAAATGAATTGGGTGGTAAATGAAGAATTGTGTATAATACATGGATTACAATATTCAGAATGGGCTGGGGATTTCCGTCAGTGGTAGAATGCTTGTCTAACAAGCTGGAAGCCCTGGGCTTGGCCCTCAGCATAAAAACTTTAAAAAATTCAGAACAAAGAAATAGTCAAAGGAAACTCCAACTTGTTGACTTTGCTTTTATTTGCATAGGTCTTACATATACTACTGTGATGTATAATGGTGTAAAACTATACTGTACAATTACAAAAACAGTACTATATAAACAAGGTGTAATGTACAAAAAACATTGAAGTTAATAAGATGTACACAACTGAACCAAAAAAAAAAAAAGCTATGTTATAGGTCTGAGTTGTGTATTGTAAATCCGAACAGTTGTTAAATAGGTAGGTCATTAAACTGGAAATAGGGGCCAGGGACATGGCTCAGTGGTGTAAGTGCTTCCCTGGCAAGCACAAGGGCCTGAGTTCAATCCCCAGTTCCACCAAAAATAAAAATAAAAGTAAATAAATCAGGAATATCTGTGATACAGTAAGTCTTCAACTCAACAAATGAGTTCAATTCTGGGAGAACTGTAAGTTGAATTGATTTGTAAGCCAACAAACTTGAGTCTTACCAGTATACTTGTGAAAGTTAGCAACTCAAATGTTCATAAGTCATGACTATTAAATTATTTCCATAGTAGAATTCCTAAAAATGGAGGCAAAGATGACCATCTATAGATTTTTTGCCAGCTGTTAAACTGCTGAAAAGATTCAGTATTGGATTTTTTGTAGAAGGAATGATCGCTTTAGTAAGCTTAATACAGTGGTAACCTGTTGTTCAAATGACCCTTTGCTAAAAGGAATATTCATTAAGATTTCTCTTTAGGTATGCATTCTTTATTTGATCTGTGTCAGCGGACTTTCTTCCTGAATTTTAAAGACTTTATTATCCACAGCTGTTAACATTTCTAGTTACAAAGGGTGACTGCATTTATTAATGGCTTGAGATTATACTTACCCTAGTTTTCCTCATTCTGATGTTTAGAAGCAGTTGATGATTATTTGATAATTTTATGAAAGCTGATTGTTTATGTATTCTGTCAGTACTGATGGCACAGAATAATTCCCAAACCCTCAAGCCAAGTCCCTGGTTCTTTACAGGTGCCATTCGAGCCCATAATGGAAGCCTCCAGCACCTGACCTGGCTGGGCTTACAGTGGCATTCACTGCCTGCTGTGCCTGCATTTCGAAAGTGGCTAAAGCAGCTTTTTCATCATTTGCCTCAGGAGACATCAAAGCTTGAAACAAATGCACCTGAATCAATATGTATTTTAGATCTTGAGGTAAGTAAGCAGTTCAGCAGACTAATTACTGAGTTTGGTTTATTGGTTTTTTTTTCTAACTTAAATGAGATTTTCTTTAAATACAACAGGTGTTCCTACTTGGAGTCATATATACCAGCCACTTACAGTTAAAAGAGAAGCACTACTCCCACCGCAGCCACTACTACCCCCTGTGCCTGCCACTTCCCGTGTGCAAGCAGCTCTGTGCAGAGAAACAGAAATCATGGTGGGACGCAGTTTCTGCTCTCATTCACAGAAAGGCAGCGTGAGTAGTGAACAGAGACAGTCTCACTCTCTAGAGCTATCAGAGCATAATTTGGTACTGGGTTTGGTGGCCTACAGTCCTAGCAGCTGGGGGCTGAGACAGGGCTGCGAAGTTGGACCCAGGCTGGCCAGTTTAGCAATACTCTAGAAGATAAAAAAGGAAATGGGCTGGGGATGAAGCTCAGTGTGAAGGCCTTGGATACAATCTCTAGTATTGGGGTAGGGGGTAAGCACAAAATTTACTTTATCATGTGAAAGATAGCATAGGTGTGATTGGAATTGTATGTGTTTAAAGAAACCATATCAAATACAACTTCTTTTAGACCTGGAAATGCAGCAAAATTGCGACTTTTAGTTCAGCATGAACTAATTACCCTCAGAGGCCAGGAAAAGCATGGCCTTCAGCCTGCTCTGCTTGTGCACTGGGCAAAATACCTCCTGAAGACGGTGAGTTCATTGAGTTACACTTCTTAAAAGAACTGTGCTTTAATTTTAAAAAACCTTGAGATAGTAGCTGCTTTTCATGTTAGATGCTGAAATGTGTTTTTAAATTTTGCCATAGAGTTAATAAAGTTAATTATAAGCACTTAAGAATGCTGTCCAGTGCAGTTATAGGTAGGCACTGTTACTGTTTTTAATAAATAATTACTGTCCAGCCTGAAAAGTTTTAGTATGTTGGGGGGCATAAGTCCTTTTAGGTGAGGACCGTTATGGCTCTCCCCAAATATGTGATGTCGTTTTTGTGTCATAATTAGATGTAGACAGCTAACTCTTTTCTCAGGTTGTGACATGTGCAGAGGAGCAGGCTTTGGGCACATGAAAATGGTAACGCTTAACAATAGCCTGGCCAGGCTGGGAAGATAGCTCAGTGGCATAAGTGTGTGCTTCGCTAGCACAGGGTCCTGTGTTCAAGCCTTGTACCAAAAAAAAAAAAAAAAGGGGGAGACCAAAACATGTCTGCTTGATAAAGCAGTACAGTGGTACCTCCGTTTATTCATCAACTTGATTCTTCCCACAGTTCTGGTGGCAAACCACTTTGGATAAGATCCGAGTCAAATTCAGTGGTTAAGTTCAGTGTTGATCTTACAGAGAAATTTGATTTGGTTCTCATCCAGTTTGATTTGTGACCACAATCATAGGCAGAACTGAAGTTGTAGACTGAGGCACTATGGTATTATTGAAAGTATTTAAAAGCTTACTCTCTTATATTGAGGTAGTCCATTATTCTAGGATTTGGGAAGTCAAACAGATGACTTGAGAGTGCTTTTGGTTTTGACTAGAAAATTTAACTAGTTTTTCCCACCACTTGTAAATGAATTTATTTATTTATTTATTTTTAAAATTTATTTATTTGTGTGCGTGTGTGTGTGTGTGTGTGTGTGTGGCCAGCTCAGCCCACCAGGGGGTGGGGCTGGCTGGCATGTGGTGCTGGGGGATTGAACTGTGGTCCCTGTGCTTTGCTAAGCTTGTTCTGAGTAGGTGCTTTAGACCACTGAAACCATCTCACCCCTCGTAAATGAATTTTTAGATGTGATCATTAGTGTTCCTTAAGGTTGTGTCTTCTAACTTTCTACTGTAGGGCAGCAGTCTCAATTCTTTTTATGATCAACGGGACTACATAGGCAGAAGTGTTCATTATTGGAAGAAAGTTTTACCATTGTTGAAGATAATAAAAAAGAAGAATAGTATTCCTGAACCTATTGATCCTCTGTTTTTACATTTTCATAGTGTGGACATTCAGGTAATAGAGTGCCCCCCTCTGAATTAATTTACAGTAAAGCAATAAAAGTATTGATTTTTTTAGATAAATTGCCTTGCTCTTTATGATCAGTGTTGCTTTCTAAATGCACTAGGTGACAAATGGTGAAGAGTAATGAGATGTGAATCTTGTCTGATTATATAGGATTTGGAAAATCTGTGGGATTTGACATACTGAGCAAAAGCGGTTTGACTAAAAACTACTTCATGTGTTTAGGTCTCAGAAACAGCTGAATATGAAGAAGAGGCACACATCAGTTTTGCTATATTTGAGGCAGTTAATGGAAATATAGAAGATGCTCTGACTGTTTTTGAATCTATTAAAAGTGTTGTTTCTTACTGGAATCTTGCACTGGTAGGTAGTGTGCTTGGATTAAGTAAAATTTTTGTTTTAAAAACAACTGTTTCATGAAGCACTTTGTTTAGATTTTTCATAGGAAAGCAGAAGACATTGAAAATGATGCCCTTTCACCTGAAGAACAAGAAGAATGCAAAAATTATCTGAGAAAGAGCAGGGACTACCTAATAAAGATTTTAGACAACAGTGATTCAAATCCATCAGTGGTCCAGAAAGTAAGTTGCAGGTGGTTGTCTGTCACTTGGGATCATTCATATTGGTGATGAATTTTTTTGCCTTGGCTTTGTAGTTTTGTCATCCAGAATCACTCAGTAGTATGTTGTTGTATATATACGGAAGGCTGGGTGTGTGTGTGGTGTGTAAGTGCTCTTAACCTTTTTGTTTCATTGTAGTTTTGCTGCCTTTTTCTTTGCTGTTTCAGTTTTGCTTTTTGAGATGGATCTTACTATAGTGGTTCAGCTGGCTTGGGACTCGCTATGTTGCCCAAGTTGGCCTCAAACTTATAGCAGTTCTCCTGTGTCAGCCTCCCAAGTGCTGGTATTAATAGGAACATACCACCACACCCCGATGATGCTATCTTCTTAAAGATTGGTAATCTACCCATCTTTGTGTACTGTTAACAAAAATACTTGTGGTATTAGAAAGGTTTCTAGTCTGTGATAGTAATAGAGTGCTTGGTTAATGTATATAGACCCTAGGTTAGATCTCTAGCACTACCAAAAAGCGAAAGGTTATTTATTTTTGCGATATGGGGGATCAGACTCAGGACCTTGTGCATGTCGGTCAGGCACTTATTTCACTGAGCTGTCTCCCCAGTGCCAGGTCCCCCCTCCTCCCCCCTTTTTTTTTTGCGACTGGCTCAGCCTGCCCTGGGGCTGGGGCTGGCACAGCATGTAGTGTCAGGATTCAAACCAAGGTCCCTGCACTTTGCATAAGCTTGCCTAAGCAGACACTTTAGACTGCTGAGCTATCTTGCTGGTCCCCCAAAAGGTTTCTAAGGCCTACATTTTAAGATTTTATTATCTTGGCAATGTGACCGAAACAATATTATAACTTCAGGCCTGGTTCTTTTTTTTTTTTTTTTTTTTTTTAATTTTAATTTTTAAAAAATATTTATTTATTTTGTGTGTGTGTGGCCAGCTCAGCCCACCAGGGGGCAGGGCTGGCTGGCATGTGGTACTGGGGGATTGAACCGCGGTCCCTGTGCTTTGCTTAGCTTAGCTTGTTCTGAGTAGGTGCTTTAGACCACTGAGCCATCTCACCAGCCCCCCAGGCCTGGTTCTTAATGAACTTTGTTGAAATGGAAGGTTGCTGATAGCCTGAGCGCATCTCTTCTCATTCTCATCACCTGTTTGGGGCTAGCTGCCCACAGTTTGGGACTGTCAGTATGGCATTGAGTGTTAAGTTCTACCTTCCTGCTGAGTGTTGTATTGGTTAATTTATGTTGTCATACATTGAGGTTTATGCTTCTCAGCATCTGTATATATCCACTCAGCATCAGTTAGGAATGTGGGTCACCTATTCATGTGGGAAAACTTCCCAATTCCACATCTCTGCTATTAGTGGTACTTTGTTTCATGGACTTAAAAGTGTAAAGTGTTTATTTGGAAATGGGAAAAATGTCAGAAGATTAAGTCTTTTAGAGGTTTTTCCCTTGATTGGTGCCTTTTGCTTTAGCTGCCAGTGTCCCTGGAATCGGTGAAGGATATGCTGAACTCAGTCATGCAGGACCTGGAGGACTGTAGTGAGGGAGGTCAACTGTATAAAAACGGGAGTTTGCGAAATGCAGATCCAGAGATCAAACATTCTACCCCGTCTCCCACCAAATACTCTCTGTCACCAAGTAAAAGTTATATGGTAAGTAGGAAAGAAATGAAGTATTCTACTGTGGAATATGCTTCTTTTAAAAATGTTTTAAGTACTGTTTTGTGGTTATTTATTATGGTTGTTATTATAATCATTTTTAGTATTCTCCCAAAACACCACCTCGATGGGCTGAAGATCAAAATTCTTTGCTGAAAATGATCTGCCAACAAGTAGAGGCCATTAAAGTAAGTCACTTAATTGCTTTAAATCTCTTGTCCTAGACTTTTCCTGCACCACTTCTTCACTTTCTGAAGTTGATAAAAATGTTTTCTTGCTGTATGCAGTGTTGTACCATGTTTGACATACCTCTTGACCCATACCCAGTCTTTGAAATTTCTTATGTGTCTACCCATTCCACAAAATGTGAGCCCTTTAAAAATAGAGACTTTTATTCACAAATGTGATTCTGGTACAGGTAGTTCTCAAGTGACTGAATGAACTACCAAGAGATTACTCAGCATACCTTACCTATGGGTGTATTTCTCCTATTGCCTGTAGAAGAGCTGTGGGTCACTTTATAAGTAGTACTTGAAGTGTTCTAAACTTTGAAAAAGTTTAATCATTTTTAATACTTTCATATGATTTAGAGTCAATTAGCTGTTACCTCTTTGAAATTAGAAGTATAGAACAAGTAGCTTTTTTCATGCTCATGGGTCTAACATTGAAATTTCAGAAAAGACATCAAAGTGTGGTGATACCAAATCAGCAGTGTGTAACTTTGCGACAAGGATTTGGAGGTGAAAGTTTTTTGAATTTGTGCAGTCGTTTTGTATGCTAATTTTGTGCAATCTGGTCTGTCATGTCAGGTGTTTGCTGTTGCACACAGGACTTGGATATGCAGGCTGGCTTCTGGACGTGCCGATCTCAGGCTGTGGGCCTGAGAAGCTGGGTGCTGGAATGGGTTCTGCCATAAATCTTGGATCTGTTACTATCTGTCTGTCTCTTATCTGACTTCTCCTTTGCAAAATGAGGGTGGCCAAGTCCATTTCCCATTATACTTTGTGGTTCTTTGAATTAGAAAAGGATGAGTGCATCCAAGATTGCAGGATCAGCACTGTGGGCAGCTGTCAGCAGTGATTGCAGTGTCCAGTCAGGTCCCATGGCTCTTGGTGTTGGCCATGCTGTATCTGGCCCAGTTGAGGGGTGAGGAGGGAGCTGCTGATCTTGAATATTGATAGTTATGGCTTTCAGGAAATTTTTGTTGGAAACACATGTAGAAGAAAGCAGATCTTGGGGTCCATTTCTGCCCTCACTTGTTTTAGCTGGTCAGGTGGCTGGGTTGATAGGAGTTTGAGACTGTTTTCAAAACTGACCTGTATTGTGACAGCACTATAGTTTATTTTTTATTTTCTGTGGTTTTGGTAAAAGAAATAGCTTCTTGATTTCTGTCCATTTTGTAAGGGAATATTTTGTTGGTTCTGGGGCTGGGTAGGGTGTTCCTATAAGGTTTCTGTAAAGTGGCAGAAAACAGATAGCTGGCAGCATAATTACATTAGATGTTGATGATGAAAGACTTCCAGAACTGCCTGAGAAGGTGGCAGGAATGATGGGCAGATAAATTTGAAAAGTGTCAAGGAGTATTGTGTCTTTTACTATCTCTTTTTTTAAAAAAAAAAAAATTATTTGTGTGTGTGTGGGGCAGCTCAGCCCACCAGGGGGCGGGGCTGGCTGGCATGTGGTGCTGAGGGATTGAACCGTGGTCCCTGTGTTTGCTAAGCTTCTTCTAAGTAGGTGCTTTAGACCACTGAGCCATCTCACCAGCCCTGTGTCTTTTACTATAATAATTGAAACATTCACTATATTTTTCTATCACTCTGTACATGATAAACTCTGAGCAAATGTTTTTCGTTTGTAGAACATTTGCCTTGAGAATTAGTAGTAGCCTGTTTCAGCATGTCCAGGTAAGAGTTGAGAGTGGACTTTTGAATTTCAAGTAGGCCAGTGGCGTGAAGCATGCAGTAGTGTGAAGAGCAGACTGGATTTGAGGATCATGCATGTCAAAAGAGGTTTAATTTGTAGGTCTTAGATTTTGAGCAGGCGAACTTCAGAAAGAATAATGTCAGCAAGTGTAGAATGAAAATGAGATCATTAGGTTTTTTAGTTTAAAGTTAGCAAATTAACAAAATAAGGACTGTGTTCTCCCTTGTGGGAAGGTTGCTGTGTAGTTCAAACTGATCTTCAGATCACTGTGTATCCCAGGCTCGTCTTTAACCCATGACAATCTTTCTGCCTCAGCTTCCTGATTGTTGGGAGAATCATATTCTTTTTTAAATTATAATCACAGATTAATGTCCAAAATAACAGGCTAAAACAAATGTAAAACACATAATTATATTAAACCAAGGTACATATTTATTGTACCTTGCTGGATTACAATGGATGTGCTCAATTCTCCATTCTGGATTACAATGCCGGAGCTCCAGTGGCGCAATCGGTTATCGCACAGTACTTATACTGGATTACAGTGCCTTTTCTTTTTTTTCTGCTGTCTTTGCATACACTGGATATCTCATGTAAAAGAAACCATGTGGATATTTAAATGTATTTTATTTCTTTTAACATTACAATGTGAGAGTGCATTCATAATCCTGTAGGTGACTTGAGTTTATCCTTTGTGGCAGAATAGTACTCTATTGTGTTTAAATACTGTACTTTCTTTTTTATTCATGTGTTGATGGACATATAGGCTGCTTGCAAGCTTTAGCTGTTCATGTTTTTGATACCCAGATTTCAATGAAAAATATAATCTCTTTGAAAAAAAGAACAAACTCATTAAGTTCTCCAGGTGTGGTGGAGCATACCTACAATCCCAGCACTCAGGATTGAGGCCGGAGGTTTGCCATGAGTTAGAGGTGATGGTGGGCTACATAATGAGTTCAGGAGCAGCTTGAAGTACGTAACAAGACCTGGTCTCAACAAACAAACAAATAAATGTATTTTAAGTTTGCCTTGGCACTGTTTCTGGTTTGACATAATTCATTGTTTAAAATTACATTCTTTTTTTCTTCCAATAGAAAGAAATGCAGGAACTGAAGCTAAATAGCAGTAATTCAGCATCTCCACATCACTGGCCAGCAGAGAATTATGGGCCAGACCCAATACCTGATGGGTATCAAGGATCACAGACTTTTCATGGGGCTCCACTCACAGGTGAGTTGGCAAATGGATAAACCCTAGATTGTGCTGAAGTCAGACATATCCACACAGGAACGAACACACACACACACATGTGTACGTGTGTATGTGTCCGTGCCTCTTTTTTTTTATGGTGCAGAGAAATTGGGGATCAAACCCAGGCCTGGTGTAGCTATGCAAAGGCTATACCTCTGAGTTATACCCCAGTGCCCCCCACTTAAATACATAAGCTGTCTAGAGGCTGATATAAAAAATGAGACCTTTTTTTTTTGGAAACAAGAGACAGACTCCTGAAATGGTACAGGTTAAGCATTCTGAAAATCTGAAATCTGATATGGCACCATCAGTGGAAAATCCTCCATCTGACCTCATATGATAGTCCACCCAGAATCTCTGTACCTTAAAAATATTGAGTGTAGAATTTCGTTTTAGGTATGGGTTTTTTTTTGCCATAATTTTATTGATAAATTAGTTATGTTTAAAGTATGCATGAAATATGTATGCATTTGATGTTGACTGGGAACTCTTTCCCATGACATCTCATTAGATACATGCAAATATTTTAACATCTGAAACACTGGTCCCAAGTATTTGAGAAGGAGATGTTTAACCTGTGGTAGTATATTTTTCCCTAATTGCTTTTAACCCAGGGCAGATCTAGAATGAGGCTAGATCAGAACAGCACATTTCTGTGATACGGTACATGGGGCTAAACTTAAGGTATCACTACTGTTCTCTTATAACAAGGTCTTGTCAGTGCAGCCACATAGCAGAGAATCTTGCTGTCATCTTGGTGGAGATGTGTAGGAAATGTTAGAGCCCAGGTTCTGTTCACCTAAAGCCCCTGCCATTGTCTACTACAGTGTGAGCGAGGATGGAGGTTGGCTGACCTGTCAGTCTTCTTCAGGGCTCCCAGCAGCCAGCCATTTGCCACCTTGTGGATTTCAGGTTCCATTTTTTTTCAGTACAGGCGTAAAGATCTTATGGTGTAATAAGTATAACATCTATGTTATTTCATTTAATTCTTGCAATGACCCAATAAAATGTGAAGAAACAGCACATCCTCGTTTTACAGCCTCCGGATGGCTCACTGACAGGACCACAGAGCAGAGAAATAGGAGCCCAGGTCTCCTGATGTCTGTTCCAGGGTGCACAGACTTCTTCCCTTAAAAAAAGTAAAGACTAAAAACTAATTGCCTTCCATCATGTGGACGTGCATGAATGTTTTGGAGTGTTTTCTGATTTTTTTTTTTTTTTTTTAATACACAAGTATTTTTTTGTGAGATTATATGGTATATAGATGAATTAGAGTACTTTAAAAATGTTAAATTCTGAATAGTTTTAAAGTAAATAGTCTTTGAAAATTAATTGAATATGTGATATCCCTTCATGTGGAAGTACTTCCACTTCTGTGCCTTATCTATATTTCTAGTTTGTGATGAGCATTAAACATCAGGCTCTTGACAAATTCCTATGGTTATTGCTTTTTTTTAACCCCGAGTATCTGATCCCATCTTTGCACTCTTGCCTGTGTTGACTGTCACCAGTATCCGAAAACCTTTGTTGATGTATGTAAACAAAATGGTAACTGTTTGTAAGTTTTTTGAAAAATAATGCCTGTTAAATACTTCATAGTCACAGTTTTTCCTGACATGTCTGCTCTGTAATAGTTATTTTTAGTAGACTTTTTTTGGTTTGGTTTGATTTGGTTTGGTTTTCTGAAATGTAGTCTTGTCATATAATTCAGACTGGTCCTACAATAGTATATAGCCCTGGCTGGCCTTAAACTCGTAGTAGTCCTCCTGTTTCAGCTTCCCAAGTGCTGGGATTATAGGCATGAGCTACCACACTCAGCCTTTAGATTATTTTTAGTAGGTTTATGTGTCATCCTTGCGCAGGGGCCATGCTAATCTTCTCTGTATCGTTGCAATTTTAGTATATGTGCTGCCGAAGCGAGCACTTTAGTAGGTTTAAATGATCCTTCTATTTTTTCTTTTTCTCATTGAGTTGTGAGTCATTGATAAGATCCTAGTTATCCTATAATCTTAAGATATTTGGATCATGTCTAGCAGTTCTGTGTTCATGCCTGCTTCCTCTTCAGAGTGGTTCGGGAAATTCATTCTGTTTTCTCATTCAGGGATGGGTTTCAGCCTAGGCTTTCTAGTGGATTCCCAGTGCTTTTTCAAAATCAATTACTTAACACTTGTTTGGCCAAAAAATTCCAGTTCTTTTGTGTACAGACATAAAAGATCTTTGTTTTGTTTCCTGACACTCTGTGCTGAGACAGATCAATCCCAGGACTGTAGGTTTGTCATTGATATATGGGATACCATTCTGTTTGTTTTCCTGGTAAAACTGAAAGCAGATGGAGCAGATAGTTTATACATTAGCATGAGTGTTTTTTACATGAGTCCGATTTTATTTTATTTTATTTTTTGTGGAACTGGGGATTGAACTCAGGCCATTATGCTTGCCAGGGAAGCACTTATTCCACTGAACCATCTCCCTGGCCCAAGTCCGGTTTTATTTATTTTTTGGTGGTTCTTTTTTTTGACACAGGGACTCACTCTGTCATTCTGACTGGCCTTGAGCTCAGTGATTTTTGTGCCTGCATAGTGCTGGGATTACAAGCATTCACTACCATACCCAGCTTTGTGTGTTTTTAAAATACACATTTTTTGTTACTTGTGATATCTTTATAATGAATTTGTCTGGCGAGTTTTGACCTGAATTCTCAACATGGGTTTCCAAAATGTTACCTTTTTACTGTAGAGTTTTTTTTTT